CGGTTGTTTCTTATTTTATTGTATGTTGAAGCACAGACAGGCCTAGTGCGTACATTGCCATGGCGACAGGGTTCCCTTCATTGTTACCTCAGTTGACTGTTTGGTGGTATCTCTTCTTACGGCCATGAAGCTTGTTGTAAAGAGGTCTCATGTGTTCCTATAGGTGTTTTCAACATACATTTCAAAGCTTGGACACTTGATCTTGTTATTGTGCATGGAGGTGGTGGCAGCACGAGGTTGCTAGCTTTCTTGTTATGGGCGATGGCAATACAGAGATCACTTGCTATGGCACCAAACTTGTTAGTGCTGAGGATGACTCTCCAACCGTTTACATCCAGGCCTGAGGGGCCAGCCCCTCCCTGAGTTTCAGTGCTTTTTTCCACATCACCCCTCCTGTTATTTTCTTGAACAGGACAGCATTAGGAGGAATATAGGCTCCCTGGAACCTGATGCCTTCCTCTTCATTTGCAGGGGGATGTTTTTCCTTCAGTTGTTGGAGTGTCTTTCTGTACATTGGCAGAACACCATGGGAAAATTCTTCTGTGAGAGATCTTACCGCCAAGGACACTTTTCCCTCACGCATCTTGTTACCAAATTTTCTGGCAACATCCTTGGTGTTTTGCTTTCCGTCTCCTATGAATTTTAGACTCTCCTGCAGTGTTCTTGCTTCGCGTAGGAGATCATCAAGGGCCCCTTTGTGCCGCATTGTCAATCTCCTTTTAATTGCTGCTACGTTTTCTTTGCACTTAGACCTTGCGTGTGTCCTCTGACAGAATAGATGGGATATTATGGCTAGTATTTGAAGAGCTAATGGGACCAGGGGGCTGTCATGATTGAAATTTATTATGAGGCAAGTCATCTCCCGGATCGTTTCTTTAGTGGCCGCGCACTTGGGTGGTTCAAAGAGGTTAGCTGGTGACCACTTGACCACTTCTGAATGCACTTCTTTGACCCATTTCACTGCATCGTCCCCCGACCTGCCTTTCCAATTTATTGACTGTGTCATTCGCCTCATGAACAGTACTTTCCGACTGAGTGGGTTCACTACTATCGTCTGACATGTCATCATCAGGTGATGGATCTCTGCCGTATAGATTTTGACAGCTGGTCCCTTTCCTACAACCCTCATATCGTGTATTACTTCTCACACATATACAGGTTGTGCATTTCTGATTCCGGCCTGAGCACTGGCAAGAACATTTCCAAGCCATGATGTCGTCCTGGGAAGGAGAGGGCAGTGGGAGAGGTAGGAGGTGGTGGTTTGGGAGGGGAGGAGGGGCAGGTCAGTTTGGGGTGTACTGACCGACGAGGCGGTGAGGAACTTGGCGGGGCGGTGCGGGCGGGGCCGGGACGAGCACGGCTGGGCACAGAGCGACCAGGACCGTTACCACTCATGACCAGCTCGGGTTACAAGCCAAGGCCTACGTGGCACTGGCCAACACCAGCACCACCTGCTATACAGTCGCCGGTTCTCCAATAACTATCACCAATATCCACTCAGGAGGCCCACAGGTGGATGACACTGTGATCACTTGACGTACTACACATTCACAAGTAATAATTACAGAAGTTCTGGCTGGTTGTCCCTCTCAAGACCCCGTTTTTTGACGAAAAACCCGTCCCATACAGAATAAGAAATATAATGACATTAATAATAATAATTGTAATAAAGTTATGCTACACTTGTACACATGAACCCATGTCTTCTATATTATTGTGTGTGTATGTACTGTACATATGTCATGTTTCTTATCATTGGGTTTTGTTTTATTTGGGGTTATATTATATTAGTAGGGTGTGTCATAGGAGGGAAGATCAGCTAAAACTAATGGCCCATCACTTTTTTGTTAGATTTTAGTGTATATAAACAGAAAATAATTTCAGTTTCAATATTTTGCAACCTTTTGCTAGGTAAATTTTAGCGTGAAATTTATCGAAAATCTAACGTACAGCTGCATTAGTGCATTACAATTAAATAGTGAACATTGCTTTCTGACTTCATTCTTTAACAACCCAACTAACAATATTTTTTTTCTGTTTCAGATTCTGATGCATTTATAAGTTGATAATATTTGCGATGGCTGCTTGTGTCAGGACGAGGAACCAAAAATCCAGCCATCTCAGTCACTATCTTGGGTCTGGGAGAGAGCTCCTGAAGTCGGAGTTGCCTACATTGAGAGATGCTTTGAGATACGGTGTTTTAATCAGGCAAATCAGTGAAAAGAACCAAAGAACTTACACAAACAAAGACATTGCCAGTGATATGACCAAAGCTGTCTTGGCACAGTACACTCTGGCTAACGCTCAGTTCAAGCCTCCAGTCATAACAAGTCAGAAGAAGATTAGTGAGAGACTGCTAGCCAGTTGGGAAAAGGCAAGAGATATCTCTCTTGGGAGAGGAAAACTTGCAGTTAAGGACAGCTTTGCCAAGCAACTGGACCAGTTATTTGACATAATTACTTGCGAGTGCCCAATTGTTTTCTGTCCTGAGCTTGGATGCGATCGTGACTGTAAATCCGAGGCCCACATCTCCTGTATTTGCAAGGTGAACCAGAAGATTCTCAGACTGAACTGGCAGCATTTGTCAAAGCACAGAGAGAAAAGACTGGCAGTATAGGGGCTCTCATGATTTCTAGCCAAGATATTCCGGAGTCCAAGAGACAGGAGGCTGCCACAGAGAGACAGAAGAGAAGAGTTGCCGAGGAAAAGAGACTTGAGAAGGCCCAGGGTGAGGTAAAAAAGGCCGATGATTGGAGTCAAGCTGATTCAGAGTTTAATGACTTCCCCATGGCTGATCCGAGTGCTGACCAGGAGAATGGTGACTTTGTCCCTAACCCAGAAAATAATGATCCCAAACCTTCCAGGTATAAGATTCGAAATAGGAAAGATATCCCGAGCATAGCTCTGGCCAGCATGCGACACCACACTGGTCTCAGAGAAACTGCAGAGATAGCAACAGCTGCCTGGGTTGACTGTGGTTTGATAACACCTGATGATGTTCACCTGGTGATAGATCATAACAAAGTAAGGAGAGCTCAGGAGAAACTTGTCAGTAACCTAGAAGAGAGTTTGATAAGGGATAAGAGAAATGGAATCAATTGTTTGTTCTTTGATGGGAGAAAGGGATGACACTCAAAGTTCATGAAAGTTGGAGATTCTGACAAGTTGTTCCCTGCCATGGTGAAGGAGGAACACTAATACCTCGCTGCAGTGAACCAGGAGGGAAGTATTTGTGGCATTTCTCACTCCAGAGAAAGATGACATCAGGAAACCAGCGGAGATAGTGGCAGATAACATTGTGAACTGGCTCAGAGAGAGGAACGTAGACCAGACCCTGCAGGCCATTGGAGGGGACAGCACCAACACGAACACAGGGTGGCAAGGGGGGTCATACAGTGGATAGAGCGGAAGATTGGGAGGAAGCTGGTCTGGATTGTTTGTGACCTCCACACCAACGAGTTGCCACTCAGACATCTGATCCAGGAGCTGGATGGCAAGACTCTTTCAAACAACAGATGGTCTGGTCCTCTTGGCAAGATGCTGGACTCTGCCACTGAGTTAGAAATAAATCCGAGCTTTGAAAAAAATCACAGTTGGCCCTCCACTCGTTGAGTTTCTGTACATACCTTGCTCTGGTTGACGACCTGAGTACTGACCAGTACTATGGTTACATGATTTGCAGTGCCATCAAAACTGGGGGTCAGTGCTCGATAGACTTGCTTACCTGCAGATAGTCTTAGCCTCACATTCTAGGTGGCCTGCCAACGGCTCTCAGGTTCTGCAGAATTTGGGTCGCTCATCATAAACTGGAAAGGGAACCAGCTTCAGCCAACCTGAGACTTATTGGTCCAATTCATCGTGAGTGTCTACTTGCCAAACATTCAACACTGCTGTCAAGTCATCGTTCTCCGAAGGTCCGAGGCATGTTTTCTTCCAGCTTGAGCTCCTGAGGAGTCAGCCAAGGAAGGTTGTTCAGATTGTGGAGCAGACTGTGAGGAGATATTCCTGGTATGCTCATCCTGAGGCAGTTCTGCAGACAATGCTCTGCAGTAAGGATGAGGAGGAGAGAAGAGTGGCAGTCAAAAAGATCTTGGATATGAGACTTATGAGAGGATCTGGGCATGACGAATCAGTTGGTGACGATTCTTCAGGGCTCAGAAGACTCCTGGTGTCAATCTAGGTGCCAAGACCCTCACTGATCTCAATCTGGATAACATCCAGGCTGGCAGTGAGCCCCTCTTACCTGCAGCCTCACCAATGTTCAAGTCAGAGCTTTCCTGGACAACCCCAGCATGTCCCTGCCTGGCCCTCGCACACCCAGAGTATAGAGCGTTGTGTACAGCAAGTGAGCGAGGCCAGCAGTCACGTGTACAGCCAGGAGAGGAGGGAAGGCTACATCCGAGCTCAGGTGGTCAGCAGGGAGGTGATGAGTAGAAACAGAAGCAAGAAAGACATGTTCTCTATGGTGTGCAGCAACACCGGGTCGTAGTAGTAAAACCGGTTTTTGTATTTGATGATTTTGTTTTCTAAAGGAATATTAAATGTAATAAATGTGTCAAGATCATTCGTTTCACTATTCTGGATCATTTTCATCCTAATAAATTAACCTGATACATTTACTTTACTTTAAATAAGCTATTTAGTGGTGTTGGTAAAAGGGTGGGAATACTGAATTTTCATAAGATTTCAAGTTAAAATTTACCTAGCAAAAAATGAAAACTTTTCAAATCTGAAGATATCACATGATTCTGCACATAGAACTACATCATTAATACCATGGGCCGATTTTTCAAACTCAAAAAAAAAATTCGCCTCCGTATGACACACCCTATTATATTAGTAATTTTCATTGTTCCCTTCACTAACTAGAATATTCTTTTGTTCTCTTCCAGATGCCATACTACCCTTGGTCAGTTATATGAACAATAAAGCCGAGAAAAGGGTCGAATCTAGTCTTCGTTTTGCCACAATTTATTGTTCATAACTGAAACTGAGTCATAATGGAGAAGTACCTGAGGCCGGAACGTGTGGATGCTACGCCGAACTCTCCCACCGCTTCAAGGGAGTGGCGCCGCTGATTCCGGACCTTCAACACGTTTCTCACCTCAATTTCTGCTCTCGAGCCAGACAAGCTAGCTACTCTCTGCAACTTCGTCTCCCGACCTGTGTACGAATAAATAGCCGACTGTGTCTCGTATGACGCCACCATCCAGGTTCTGCAGGACTTATACGTAAAGCCGAAGAACGAAGTGTTCGCCCGTCATCTACTAGCTATCAGGAGGCAGCACTCGGGTGAGAGTTTGGACGAATATTTACTGAAACTTCATCAGCTCAGCAAGGACTGCAACTTCAAAGCTGTCACAACAGAGGCGAACAGAGACGATTATATCCGCGACGTTTTTATCAACGGTCTACTATCTCCTATGATCAGACAGAATCTCTTAGAAAACAAGACTCTTGATTTAGCTACTGCGTTCGACCAGGCTCGCGCGCTCGATCTGGCTCAAAGAAACTCCGTGTCCTATCTTCGGTCTCAGGCTCCTATGAACACTGCCGCTGTTACTTCACCTGAGAAAATCGACAGTGATGACTCTCCCCTCTTAGCTGCCACTCAACAACCAAAGTGTTTTTTCTGTGGTGGAGCACGGCATAACCGACCTCAGTGTCCTGCGTGTGATTTAACTTGCCACAAATGCAACAAGAAAGGCCATTTTGCGAAAGTATGCAGATCATTTCGTTACTCACCTGCTACTTCATCTTCCACTTGTGCGGTCTTACACTCTCCTACTTTGGCTGCAATATCTGCGACCTCCCCTGGATGTCTCGCTCGATCTACCATATATGTGCTTGTTAATGACGATACAGATACAGCACTCGTTGATACCGTGAGCTCAAAATCGTTTATATCAAACCGCTATATCCAGCAGAAGTCTCTGAAGTGTCATCCAGGGACAGGTCATGTGTCTATGGCCTCGTCTTCCCTATCATCGCCAGTGTTAGGTCACTGTACTGTAGACATTACCCTCAAGGGGAAACTCTATCCAGATATTCGACTAACTGTTCTTCCCGACCTATGCAGTGACGTTATTCTTGGTCAAGATTTCATGAGCCTACATAGTGGTGCTACTATTGATTTCGGTGGGCCTAAGGAGCAACTCATCATTAGGGATAATACAGTTGTTTGTAACCTTTCATCTACTTTGGTCGATCCACCATCTCTCTTCTCTAATCTGACCTCCCCCTGAAACCTGTTGCGAAGAAGTCAAGACGATTTGGCCAAGCGGACAGGGATTTCATCTGAGGTGAAGTCGATAAGATGTTGTCGGAAGGAATAATCGAACCCAGCACTTCACCGTGGAGGACGTAAGTCCTCATCACTACTAATGAGTGGCACAAAAAGCAGCTTGTTCTCGACTACAGCCAAACCATCAACAGGTATACCCAGCTGGATGCTTATCCCTTGGCCTGGATAGACGACTTGGTGACTAACCTATCTCTTTATAAGATATTCAGCACTCTCGACCTAAGGAGTGCGTACCATCAGATCCCTATACGGGATAAGGACAAGCCATTCACTGCCTATGAGGAGGACAGAAGCTGTACCAGTTCCGTAGGGTCCCATTCGGAGTGACGAACGGCGTGGCTTGTTTCCAACGAATCATCGATGGATTCATACGTAGAAACGAACTGCTGGGTACTTCCGCGTACATTGATAACATCACCATCGCCGGTTCGTCTCAATAGGAGCACGATGAAAATCTGTCCAGATTTCTTGATAGAGCAAAAAAGTCAATATTCACCTTCAATGAAGACAAATCTGTCTTCTCAGAAACGTCGATTGATTTGCTGGGCTACACCATATCGCATGGCACTCTCAAGCCAGACGCCGATCGCTTTCGTCCTCTGAAGGAATTGCCACTTCCGAAAGACTTACCTGCTCTACGACGTGTGATAGGACTCTTTTCATACTACTCTCAGAGGATCTCGCACTTTTCCGACAAGGTTAGACCTTTTGTCAAGGCTCAGACATTCCCTCTCCGCCTTCGAAAATCTTAAAAAGGAAATAGCAAGTGCGGTAGTCAGCTCGATTGACGAGACTATTCCATTCGTAGTAGAAACCGACGCTTCCTACTCTTCCATCGCTGCCTCCCTGAATCAAGCCGGTAGACCAGTTGCATTCTTCTCAAGAACACTCAGACAGTGAGTGCGGACCTTCTTCTGTCGAAAAAGGGGCCTATGCTATCGTTGAAGCAGTAAGGAAATGGAAACATTTCCTGTCTGGCAGACACTTAAATCTCATCACCGATCAGCGATCTGTGTCCTTTATGTTCCACTCCAAGAAGCTGGGAAAAATCAAGAACGACAAGATCCAAAGATGGCGGGTCGAACTAGCCTGCTTCGACTTCGACATTATCTATCGGCCAGGGACTGAAAACTCAACTGCTGATGCTCTATCGAGAGCCTTCTGTTCGGCTACCAACCACAACAATCTGTCGGATCTCCATAAGCAACTATGTCATCCAGGAGTCACAAGAATGGCCCACTTCATCCGCGCTCGCAACTTACCATATTCTGTAGAAGACGTCAAGAAGGTATGTGCTGAGTGCTCTACCTGTGCCAAAGTTAAACCTCAGTTCTATAAACCCGACACAACCGCCCTCATCAAAGCTACTCAGCCTTTTGAACGGTTAAACATCGATTTCAAGGGTCCCTTGCCGTCGACTTTCCGAAATCGATACCTACTAACCGTGGTTGCAGAGCATTCACGATTCCCCTTCGCGTTTGCATGCGAAGACATGACTGCGGCAACAGTCATCAAGTGTCTGCGTCAGTTATTCGCTACATTCGGCATGCCTGCATATGTCTACTCGGATCAAGGCACTTCCTTCATGATCCGAGAGCTTTCCTTACTAGTAATGGTGTGTCTACCAGCCGAGCCACCCCATACAACCCAGAGTAAATGGTCAGTGCGAGCGCTACAACGAATAATATGGAAAACCATTATACTCGCTCTTAGGTCCAAGAACCTCATAGAAGCTAATTGGGAATCTGTGTTACCTGATGCACTTCATTCTATTCATTCCTTATTATGAACTGCCACCAACAAAACGCCTCATGTAAAACTGTTCAACTTCCAACGCCGATCAGCCCGTGGTAGTTCGATGCCAACCTGGCTCTCCTCTCATGGACCAGTCTTGCTACGAAGACATGTCAGGAACAGTAAGTACGACCCCCTGGTTGATAAGGTTGAGCTTCTGGGAGCCAACCCACAGTACGCCCACTTTCGATTCCCCCATGGACGACAGTCTACCGTGTCACTCCGAGATCTGGCCCCTGCTGGACAAGCTGTTCCAGATACTGCCGATCCCGAACCTGAAACGACTAAGGCACCTATCTCGGTGCCCCTTGAACCTACACCCTACACTCCAGTGGTTGAATCTCCTTCAAATGATGCTCCTCTGCATGAAGCTGTTTTGACAGATTCGCCATCGCTTCCTCGTCGATCGGGTCGTGTACGTCGGAAACCTGATTTTTACGGTTGTCCTGATGTCTAATGATCAAGATGGGTACACTTTAATAAAGTTATGCTACACGTGTACAATTGAACCCATGTCTTCCACCTTGTTATGTGTGTATGTACAGTTGCCAGCAAAAGTTCTCCCACAGCCCTGTGTATCAAGTTGTGGGAGGACTTTTGCTGGCAACTGTATATATGTTATGTTTCTTATCACTGGGTTTTGTTTTGTTTGGGGTTATATTATATTAATAGGTAATACGTAGTAGGCAGCTACCAAGCAGGGAGCATAATGTATTGTCTAATGGTAGACTCTGCTGCCATATGGCATCACGAAAATTGTGACCAAGTCTTAGGTGAGGGAGGATCAAGTGTAAGACGATCTGACAGCCCTGAAAATATCCGCCTGAGGCATTGTTAAGACAATTATTAATATTTTATTAGATATGTAACGTAAATATTACTGAGTAGTTGTTGGGGTATTATTTGGGTGTGAAAAAGTGAATTTAATGGTTAATTTAGTCGATTGTGTTGGGTGTGTGGTGGAGGTGTTGACAGACTGTACAGGGCGGGGGGATCGGTGGTAGATGCGGTACCGTTCTTGCCTCGCAAGCGAGATGTCACGGGTTCGATTCCCGGGCCGGTGGAAGTTGTTTGGACTTACTTCCTTGCCCCCATTAGTCCCTGTTCACCTAGCAGTAAAGTAGGTACCTGGTGTAAATCGAAAATTGCGAATTCGTATTCAGGGAAAGTTGTTGGAGCTTCCAATAACTTCATGACATAAAACCACTGACTCTTCAGGCTTCTAAGCCCTTGACTCTTCAGGCTTCTACGCCCTTAACTCGTGAGACATAAAGGCAAGCATGAACTTAGCATGCTTCCCTGTTGGGCGCTGCAAACGCTTCTGCGCTTCACCTTACACAAGGATGTAAGGGGGTGCCCAATAAATAATAATAATAAAAAAAAAACTGTACAGGGCCGACTTTCTGCCTCATTTACACACAATGGACGAGTTGACGGTTCTGGGTAAACACAAGAAATACACTCTGCCACGTTCGTACATTGATACGGTATATATAATTTGTAATAAAAGTTTAAAGTCCTGCTATAATAGTCGAGATAAGTTCATTTTTCTAGAAACAGGACCGCCATTTGCAATGACGTCACTAGTTTCAAACTCATCGCTGCAGTCGCAGGTACTAGAAAGGATGGCCTCTTCAGACCCCAAAATGCCACATTCAGATTAGTTTAAAGGGTGTTTTTTTATGGCCTAAGTCATGGACAATTCGTAAGTGAATAAATGTGCCGTGAAAAGCAGCTTCAAACATAGGTTGGATGGATATATGAGCGATAGGGGTTGGGTGTAAATGGGACTGCCTAGTATGGGCCAATAGACCCGCTGCAGTTTCCTCCATTCTTATGTTCTTCTGGACCTAAAAATAAAACATGTTTACATCAGCTCAGCTGTCATGTATTCTTACCTGGTAGACTTTTTTTTCAATGCATTTACAGAGTATATCAGTACTAGATGGAGATACGACGAAATTTAGAAGTTATGACATTGTCTGGACTTTGTTTTGAGAATGCCTGATGCTAGGTAAACATGACAACATAGTGCTGTTATTGTTTTGATGATTCACTTATGAACCACTGGGATATATCATCACTTATATTAATTAATGGGTAAAATTTTAATTTAACTACCATAAGTATTTCGATGTTTAGATTCAAGATAGGCTATATTGGGTTAATTTTAAGTTTGGGTCATCCTTGTACTTAGACATGCAGACTGTTTTTTGCGGATGGTTTGCGATGTGTTATGAACGATTTAAACCTTCAATTCTATCGGAAATCATTAGTTTTGAGTTACTACCCCTCCCCCTTACCGATGTATGTTAAGCTAACCTTATAACTCATCATACCCTAACCTAACCTAACCTAACCTAACATATGATCTGTATTTTCTTATGCGATCGAAAAATGTTTTGCGACATAAATCCTGTAGAGATAATGTGTCTTACTGTTTAAAGTACTTAATCTCATAGTTAGAATCTTAAGGTTCCTCAGACGACCAAAACCAAAATAATATCAATAGTGTTTGGAATGTTTATACTATGAAATTTGTTGTATGAGCAGCTAATATCCATGGAATTAGTTTATGTGCTTAGAAATATATATATATATTCAAAATAGTATTACTGTGTTGCACAGTAAAGCACAATTAATTATCTAACAATATTTACGGAGCCGATCAGCCGAGAAGGCTGGAACTACAGCTGGCTGACTCCGCTGGGAAGCGCACCCCCAAACAGTGACGTCACAACCAATCACAGACTTTATAGTAACTTTAGCATTTATTTCTGACACTTTTTGGCCCAATTTATTTTAAAATATCATTACCATAGTGAATTTAAGCGTTTTCTTTACCCATTGACTTGCCAACTTAGGAAAAAATTCCGACCGTCAACTCGTCCATTGCAGGGTCTCAATTGTTTCTCTTACATAAGAACATAAGAACATAAGAATGGAGGAAACTGCAGCGGGCCTATTGACCCATACTGGGCAGTCCCCTTTACACCCACCCCCTATTGCTCATATATCCATCCAACCTATGTTTGAAGCTATCCAGCGTATTCTAGTTAATGGTGATATTTGGTAACTTGTTCCACTCGTTCACTACTCTATTTCCAAACCAGTGTTTACCTGTTTCGCGCCTAAATCTAAATTTGTCTAATTTAAAACCATTGTTACGAGTTCGCTCCCGGTTGGATAGTTTGAGTACCTTGGTAATGTCCCCTTTGTTCAGCCCTGACTTCCATTTATACACCTCTATCATATCGCCCCTCATTCTACTTCTTTCGAGGGAGTGCAAATTAAAATGCATTAACCTGTCTCTGTACTCAAGGTTCCTAATGCCTGGGATTAGTCTTGTCATTCTCCTCTGAATTCTTTCCAAGGATTCTATATCCATTCTGTAATACGGTGACCAGAATTGAACTGCGTAATCCAGGTGAGGTCCCACAAGCGCAAGATATAGTTTTAACATGACTTCGCTAGTCTTGTAACTAACACTCCTTTGTATGAACCCAAGTACTCTATTAGCCTTGTTTCGAGCAAATACACATTGCTTACTTGGCTTAAGATTCTTTACTTATCATTACTCCTAAAGCTTTCTCGCAGTCGGATTTCTCAATAACATCGTTGTTCACCTGGTATCTGGTTTCCCTGACAACACAACAAACTGTACATATACTGTATTGTTTCTCACTCTTGATCTTTTTATATTTTTGTATTTCTTTATTGTTCTTTATTATTATTATCATTATTATTATCATAATTATTATAATTATTATAATTATTATAATTATTATTATTATTATTATTATTATTATTATTATTTATATTGCAGTGTTATTATTATTATTATTATTATTGTTATCATTATTATTTAATTATTTTTATTTTTGTATTTTCTATTAAAAAATTACTTATCTGAATGATTATTATTAATACTATTATTATTATAAAGGGAGAGGGAGAG